GCAACTTTTATTGAGAATGTAGCTAAGAGAATTACGAAAAAATGCTATTACTTTCGATCAGAATAATATTATAACATAATATTTTGGTAATATTTACTTTGATTAGTTTTTTTTTTTTCTTTAATATAAAATATTATTTTAATTAAATTATTGTTTAAATTTAAATAGCAAGTTCATTTAATTATTATTCAAGTACATCATATTGTTTTATTTTATAATTTAACTTTGTTACAATGTTGCCATCTGCCCATCATTCAATTATCTTCGTCTACATTGCATTATTGATTTGATTTTGCATTGACATTTTTTTGTTTTTTCTCCTTGTTTTATAAAAAACAGCCCACATGCGGCAGAACCTGCCCAGCAACCACCCACTGCAAATCAGGCCAGCTCAGCGTGGGGAGCTGCGGTACAAGAATGAGAGAGCCGCATCAGCTAGCTGGAGGCAAAGGCAAATGCACGAAGGCGGCATCCTGATAAGCATAACAAAAACAATAACAATAACAACAACAACCGCATTGATCACAGAATGAACGAGTGTCGATTGACATTTCAACAATCAGACAGAGTGCATAAATGCCTGCAGTTATAAATAAATTAAGACAAGAATGGGCAAGAAGCAACTGAAACAAAATAAAAAGTATAAATTGAAATGCAATGCGGTGTGCCTTCTCGCTTCGTCTTACAGTTGAATCGAACAACGTTTGATTACTTTCACCAAGCATGCAAAACGGAACACTCACACACACACGATAGAGCGCACACACACATAAACTGTGAGAGAATGAGAGCAAAAAGACGAACAGCCAAAAAGTTTAAATTGGCTGTCATTTTTTTTTTCTGTCTTTTTATTTCGTTTTACACATAACTTATGCATAATTGTTGGCATTTTGTTTCGTTTTATGTGTATGCGTGAGTGAGTGCGCTGCATTTAGAAAACAAAAACTGCTTAATCAGCACAGCAGCAAGCTTATAGAAAGGCAGAAATAATAAACAAGAGTAACATTGTTTACACTTTTGTTGGAGCGACGCTACATTGACACGTTGCCTCTTTGTGGCAAGCCAAGCCCCGTACAGCACACGAACACACACACTCTTCCACGCACGCAGAGAGCCAAACACCACCGTTCGCTTTGAAGCAACGAAACTTACTGAGATACAAATGAGCACTTATAGAAACAGGCGCTGCCAAAAGCTCAACCGCAGCTCTCAAAAGCTGCGCTGATTTCATACAACAAGGGAGAGAGATTGGGAGAGGGAGAGAAAGGGAGGCAGTAAGCATGTGAACAATTGAGAGATTTGCGCATTGTGGGAGGTCGCCACCTCTTCATGTCTTTCACTCACTTGTGTTCCGACTTTTTGAAAATTGAATGCATTTGTCTTCTCCAATAATGCGAGGGTATTACGATAGCCAAGGCTGCGATAAGGTATTGGCGCATTTTCCACTTTCATATAGTCGCGCTCTATGCATTGCAAGCTGACCGGCGGCTTGATAGAAGTTATCAATGAGCGCACCACAATGGTGACATCCTTCAAAATTTCTTCGTGCTCCGAAGACATTGTTGCTGCAAATAGATTAAAACAGAAATAATCTTATTATACACTCATATTATCAGAAATAGTGCATGTGTGAGTACATGCCAATCAGGTAATCAAATATGATAAAGCACTGTGAAATGCCAGCCAACCCCACCCACAACAACAAGTATGCGTGCCAAACGATATTCGCAAAAACTTATTTGGGCACAATGAACGCGACACAGATAATGAAAAAACAGCTGAGCTATGGAGAGAGGGAGAGAGTTTTCAAGAACATCGAGCAACAGCAACAGCAACAGTAAAATCAAAAGCAAATGCCAATGCAAAAGCAAAATAAAGCAGCGCGTCGCGACGGCGCAACGAGCTCGGGATTTTTTTTTTTTTTAAGACAAAACTGTGGCTGCTGCTCTCAATAATTTGATACAATTCACATAAAATTATTAAACAGAACAAATTTGAGTTCGATTTATCTGTTGTGCTGAAATAACTAGAAAACTATGTGATGTGATTGAAGCTTTGTTTATTTATAGGATTGCATATGTTTATGTTTGATAGCGTAAACATATCAAATTTCAATTTCGTTTAACTGCCCGCCATGTTTTTTTGACTGTCGCAAAAGTGTTGCATTAGAAAAACGCATTGAATTTCAAAGCCGAAATGGCATAATAATACAATACTTACAGAATGATTAGACTATTTAATATATACATATATATATTATTATTTGTATATGCACTTTAGCATAAATTGATTACACTTTTTTAAGAATGCGCGAAATGCACGAAAGTACTATACGGGATCAAATTGAAACTTCAAAAGCCTGTGCTCGTATTAACAGCTGTAAAACTAACTGTATTTTTCGATAAAAAAAATAAATTTTCGATTTATATTAACTGCAATGCTGTTAAGTTCTCGTGAGTATATACTTATATCGAAAAAATGTACAACTTTATACCACATATTAATCTAATAACATTTAATCTATTTAGCTAACTTATGTCAGCTATGATTTTAATTAATTTACCTCTACAACTGCAACTGAGGTAAATGCGCGCTACTATCGATATCATCACCATCAAATACTCTTAAAGCTTTTACTTGTTATGCCGATTATGAACAATCGCATCATACGATATAAATCAGGGTGACCCCATTGGAAATAACACCAAATAATCGTTTAACGTTTGCCGACGTAAATTTAAAAAAGTTAAACTGTTTCACTTTGTAAAAAATATATATTAATTATATAAATGAAATTATTTTTTATGAAGTGCAAGGCGATGTCTGGCTCTTTTGTGCTGCCGCAGGACTCGTTGCAATTGCGTTCTAAGTCTCTTCACCGAGATAGGCCTATTTTTTGGTATGTTGGAATCTAAACTCTCTTTGTTCCTCTTACTCATAGCACTATAATTCCCATAATGCCAATTATTTCTTCTAGGTGCTGGAGTTGTCACAAAGTATTCAATGCGAGCAGCTGCTGGCGGAGCTGCTTCGTATCTCGCTCGCTTTATTTTGTCATCTCGCTCTCGCTGCAGCTGATGCTCCTCCCGCACCTTTTGCTCTAGTTTCTGCTCCTCTCTCAAGGCTGCTGCCAAACTCTCGTCGGTGTTATCCTCGCCAAGTGGTCTCAAACCAAAGTAGAAGCCGCGATTGTGCTTAAAGGGTGATTGTGTGGTGGGCATCGGCGTTGGCCTATCCAAGCGCTCTTTCTGCTTGCCGCCAGGCGGCGATTCGCTTTGGGACTTGTCAGGAGGCAGAGGTGGTGGCGTTGTCTTATTGGTGTCCGTCTTATGTTTGTGGCCCCTGGATTTCACACCTGGCCATCTCTTATGTATCTCGGTGTCCAATTGATTGAGCTTTTTGATAATCAGACACGAACGCTGCTTCATATTCTTCGTCAGCTCCAGCAATCGAGCCACTTTCTGCATAACTTTCTTCTTACAGAGTTTGATTTTGGCTTTGGCTTTAGTTTTGGTTTTGGGCGCCGGACAGGTGTCCTGCGAGCTGGGACCCTCTTGTTTGCCCTTTGTCTTGCAAAAGTGAAAGAAGGGCGCATGTAAGTTTTTAGCCTCAACATTTTTGTCTGCTAAAGATTCATCCATTTTACCCTGCCTCAAACTCATTGTTATCAAGCGCTCGAATGCTCGATCCGCAGATTCACTTTCCATGCGCTGATTGCCTTTGTGCCGTGCAGCCAGCGCCGAGGACACCAGCAACTCCTGCTCCTGTTGCTGCTGCTGCTCCTGCTCCGGGCTGTTATTGCTCAGCCAGTGCAAAAGTCTCTCATTTGCGTTGAGACTCCGCAATCTTGGCCTGCCAGCATCGGCTCTCACTTTATTCCCATGGCTAACTCCCCCTGCACTAATCCCGAATTGATTTCTGTTCAGCTGCTCGAGCAAACTATTGAGATTCGTGTTTGCATCCAGGGTGTGTCGCTCAGCTGAGGCCTGAGGCTGCACTTGTGATTGAGTGCGGCGCTGCTTCCTGCTGTAAGCCTGTCCATTATTGTCTGCATTCACTGTACTGCCGGGCAGTGAGTCGTGCGCCACAATTGCCACAATTACCATTAGTATAATTCTCACTCTGTTGTGTATCACATTTGACATTGTTTTCCATACCAAAACATTTTGTTGAGCACAAAGTGCGTTCACAAGTGCTTTTGACTCAGTGATGCCAATTTAGCTTTTATTTTACGGCCTAGTGTTGACAGATTTTTGGCTGCCTTTTCTACTTGGACTATTAAACAAGCAATTTATGAATCAGTGTTTATATATATATTTTTTGAATATTGACAATTATTCAATTCTATTTTGATCAGTCAATCGCTCAATCTATCAGCTTATCAATTTTGTTTAACAGTTTATCAATGAAACTCTTTATCACGTCAAGTCAAGTGCATATGTACAATTTATAAAACTGACTATTATTTCTATCAATAAATCATTCATTCAATCAATCAGACAAGCAAACATATTAAATGCAACTTGTTTAAGGTAGAAACGTAATCTTTTTGTATAAATAATTGTGTAGTAAATCAATCGCTTAATCATCAGTAATTAGGTAATACTACATAAACATAGATAAGCATTATTGCCAAAGAAAATCTTCACTTAGACTGCCACAATCCTCTTCTAGGCAATTCTATCATTTCAGTTGACCTTTTCGTCAAAGTGAGTTCGTCATTAATCAATTTCTTAATCAATAAATACATTTTTATATATAGACGTCTCTAGATATATCGAGGCAAATGAAATTTGTTACTGAGCGTGTGGCACGCATGTTGGGGGCCTTGCGTTGGTGACGCAAACATTTGCCACTGCATTGCCGCAAGTGCAAAGGCAACTCAACGTTCGACCACTGGAAGTGGCCTGGAAGTAGCCTGGAAGTCGCCTGGAAGTGTCTGAAACGCACTTGGGTGACTCAACGGCCTGTCGCAGCCCATGCTTCAGACAGTCGAATTTTCTACATCGAACGCAGCAGTTGGGCTTAGTCCGAGGACTTCGTCGTCCCACAGACAAACTAAATACATAATTTAATACACAATTATACTATACTTTTGAGTGCCTGTCTAAGGGCCTCCTGCTCTAGGGATTCAAACTACGCTCAAGTTTGTTTCCGAGTGACGGCATCGATTTCGTAGTTTTTTAAATGCCACACAAACGCAAAAGACACAAAAACTGAAAGGATTCCGTCGCCCGCTCCATAAGAAAACAAAAATAGATCCGTGGCGTAGTCGTATTGTGCCTTACCAAGGAGGATTCGTTGTGCCATGACTGTTTCCAATATGCACACCAAATTAATTATATTGATTTTATTTTTCTATAACGGTTCCTACAATTGGATTAAAAACTTGTAAAGCGACTAAACTAAAAACGTTCGACCCTCCCCCTTCCTCCACAGGCGGCGACCGTCTGCGTGGAGTGTGTGTGTGTGCGTGAGTGCGTGCGTGCTTGTGTGTGTGTGTTTAACAAGTTAGTGCCGTTAGTGCTAGTGACTGTGTGCGCGTGTGAAATAAACGGTAAGCTTTTCTCATTACAATCACCTATTATTATACACAAGGCCCCAATACCCACGGGGGCCGTCTCACTTCATTGTTTTTCGCTGTTCATATTGATTTTATAATTTCGCCATGAAAAGCGCATTGGCCAACAGAAACAACAACAATTACCCCAACCCAACCCAAACCACCCAAATGCCAGCAGGACTCGCGACAACAGCGACAACAACAGCAAGCAGCACCAAAGTAGACAACAAAGAAATTCCCTTCCTCTCTCTATTGCTCTCATTCCGTCTCTCTGTCTATCTCTCTCTTTTTCTGTCTTTTCCTTTGATATATGCAAGGCAAATGCGCAAAACATCTGTGCTGCCCAGCTTTGGCTACAGTGGCGTACCAAAATATTGTATACAGCTCGATGGGTAAATTTAGACTGAAGCGCTGCAGTTTCTTTGTTCTCCACAATTGTTATGAACCATATGGCATACAAGTAGAGAGGAAGGAAATGTCATAAGTAAATAGAGCTGCACAAACACGGTAAACGACATCAGCTAGTTTAATTTTTATTTATTTATTTGCAATGTTAAACCTATATAAATTAAATATTTAGCTAGCTTAATATATTTAAAGATTTCGAGTCAATAACATATGGGTGTATCTTTTTGGCATATGTAAGCTAGATTCATTTATAGTTATTTTTGCGTATTACTTACAAGGAACTGAATATTTGCAAATATTCAGGACGCCACTGTAACGAATCAATGCACTCCCAACGTTCATCGTTCCATTTTCCTTACCTTTGTTACACACACGAAGAACCATATGTATATATTCCAATAAATTCAACTGGAAATTCCAAAGAGTTCACGAGCCTGCGCACTGCTCCATCCATCCTTCAGTACGCAATGTTTTGATAGTAAAAACGAATGTGAAACGGAGACGAGGATAAATGCAGCCAACGCACCAATACTAACAGCACGCGGTTGAAAATTGTTTACAAATAAGCGGAACGCCACGTGGCACATGGCACATACAAATCGACGGCCATTGGAAGAATGTGGACAATGAGTATGCTTCTGCATGTGTGCATGTGTGTGGGAACGATGTGTGAGTGGGAGTAGAATTTCGTGCAAGCTCACGCACCGGCCGGCTACAATCTTTAATTTCGTTGGGCCTATGGGACGCCTTGATGACGTCGGTGCTGTGTCGACATTGAACTACTTACAACGGTACTTGCCACATATGTACATATGTGGCCCATTGGGCTGAGCTTGGTGGCCACGTTCATATTTCGTTGATGACGTCAGCAAAGTTTTATTTATGGCCCGAACAACAGTTAATCCAATTTACAACCGAAGCTCGAAGACATTTCGATTTGTTTTCTCACTTTACGACTTTGGCTTCCGGATCATTCGGCGTATACGTGATGTGTTGATTTCTCGCCAATCGTAAATCGTTCATTGGCTCGGCGCTTGAGATAGGAAACCTTAATTAGTTATTTAATTAAAAATGAATATGCTTAGATTATGCAGACTTATGCTAAATATGCCCTCAATTGATTTGATTTCACGTTCACTTTGACAAATATATCTATCTAGTACAAATATATTTTAGTTTCTCGAACATACTAATATATATGAATGCAAGTATGTATGTATGTATGTATATAATATAGAAATTGTTTGTGTGCAATTAAAAATTTGGGCAGTCGGCATAAACATCACCACGAATGTTTGCAACAATTGTGGCAACAACAATTGCAAAATTGCATTGCCTCAAGGTCAAATGGCAAACTGTCTGAGAGCGCCTAGGGTTTTACAACTTTGCTAGACAGAATGATATGTATTTGCTACGACGCAAAAGCACCTCAACTATATAGCAGCTATATAATAGAAAAACATATATTGCAGATGTTATGATCTTAGAGGAGGGGTCGGATGTTGAGGAGTGGAAATTGAGGATTGTTTTTATTTCGTTTTCATTTCAAGTCTAGTTCTTTAGGGCTGTATAAAGAATAAACTATGCTAATTCATATATCAAACATATGATTTAACTGCTCTAACTACGCAATAAACACGTTTATTTATTTACATTTCGATAAGAGTTTCAACAACATCATAATGATAACGTCAATTTTCAAACAATGTCTTAGTACCATCAAAAGCTAGCTCTAATTCTCTCATGGAATTTTCCAACACTTAAATTGCGTATATGCACAGCACGCACCCCATTTATTTTTGCATTACATTACATTATTTATTTATTTTTTTGTCATTCCATCTCAATATTAAATTGAATTAAAGCAAATCTTCTCTTTTCTACTCTTTACAGTTACCGGATTCTCGTCTTTTCTCCAATTATCAAATCCCCTATTTTTGTTTACACAACAAAAAAAATATTGACACGATTGTACGTAGCAAAACAAACCTCGCGTTAATCGCTCCTGCCGTTTCTCCCCCCATTCTGTCTGTTGGCTTAAAGCCCTGTGGAATTTTTCAAGCTTTTTTTGCGTCACATATTAAGGTATATATGTATATAAACACATACACATAGACGTGCGAGTGTGTGCGAATAGAGCGAAAAACAAGAGGAAACCAAAGCAAAGGCAACGCAAAAGCAAACGCAAAGGCAGCCAGCGAAACTGTGCCAGCCCCGTCGCTGTGCCCTCGCCGATATCAAAGACAATAACAATAGCAATTGCGATCGCCCGTCGTCGTCACCCACCCCAAAAAAAAAGACAAAAACAAAAAAAAAGCAACAACCTAGAGCTGTGTATATAAACACGCTCGTATCAGCGAACTGTGTGCATTCAGCATTCGACATCGAAACAATCGTCGCTAAAAGAGCTCAATTTTCAGTCGCATTTCGACACTCGTTGGGAACGGATCACGAACGGACCAAAGCATACGCAGGGCCATCTGTGCGAAAAAAATAGACAACTGCAAGAGTGCATATACTTTTAACGGTATATGTAAAAACGTATTATAATATACAAAAATATATATTAAGCGGACAAAGTGTACAAGAAAATCCACTTCGATGTCGATTAATTCGCCAATATTGTTTAAAAACTCTGACCTGCATTAAACAGGCAAAAGCGATAAATACCAAAACAAAAAGAAGACAAATTTAAATAAAGGTTAATTTCGTAGCAGAAGAAAAGTAAAGAAGAAAAGACACTTATCAAAGACATTAAATTCACTTTAGCAAATCAACAATAAGTTGTTTGCTTTTTAGTTCGCGTTACGGGTTTTTTTTTTAATTTCGTTGTGTTTTCCATCGTAAAGAAAAGAGAAAAGTGCAAGCAGTTTGAGAAGAACTGCAAGCAGTAGACATCAAACTTCAATTTTGTGTTATTCGATATTTTCAATCAAACGGAAATCAAAAACTCGTCTGAGCAGTGTAACACATTGACAAGAACAACAACAATACAGCAACAACACTACACAACAAAACAACAAGTTTGTTTATTGGGCTTAGGCCATTGTATGGGTAAGTCTTTCATAATAAATTTATAAGTATATATGAAACTATATAAATTTGTATAGTGTTTTGTGCAAGCATACCTTTAGTTTGGGTACGGCTTTCCATGCAAGCTATTTTCTCCTATGCAACAGTTTAAGAGTCACTGTTAGCGTTTGCCTAACAACAGGTGGCCGGAGCTAAAATATTTTTAGATCGCAACTTTATATTTTTAGACATGCGTTTTACTGGCCGTTTAGGTTTTGTTGCCTAACAACAGGTGGAGCTAAAATGGATTTAGATCCACATAGAGTGCTTGGAGGTATTTTAGTACATTTTTTTATTTAGTACACATCGCTGATTCATATTCACTCGTAAAGGGCGTTAATTTGTAAAATCACAAAAAATCACAATTATATGACTCACATATAGATTATTTTTTAAACAAACAAAGCAATTCTATGGCGCAATAATAATACTAATTTTAATTGAAATAAATAACAGTATGCTGAAAACCTTGAAATGCATTAAGTTAGGTTGAAAGCAACGTAAAGTTCGTGGAAATTCACGTTTGCCACTCTCAAGTGGGCGGAACAGTTGAGCACATGAACCAGACACGTGCTGGCTCCCCCATCACCCCATCGCCCCCTCGACACGTCGCCCCATTGCCCCTTGTTGTTGCGCCATGCTCGATTGGGCATCATCCGGTGCTTCATTGCCGAGTTTCCAACGGCTCTCTATTTGATTTTTATGAACCCAGCGCATAATCAGTCAGACTTTATCAGCACTTGGGGCTAATTCTATATAACTACGCGTGACTTTCATTCATATATATATTATATATATACAGATGTCTCTGCCTATAAAGTAATGTGTACTCAAGTCAAATAACAAGTTAACGGAATGTCCCGTCATCTCTCCTGATTAACCTTGAGTTGTTTATTAGCCCCAGATGATTTTCATTTGCGTTGTATAAGCTTGTTAGGCTGAATAACAAATGAAGCAGCTCGTATCATCATACAGATAAGGCCCTTAGACTAGACCTGTGCTACCTGAGCTAGGTCACGTGGAATTTGCCTTTTTATTTGGCAAATGCTCAAAATGTTGAGAAAGCAATTATAGAAGATATATAGTATATATGCATATGTCTAAATAATGGGATAGTTTCATTGCATATGAGTCTTATATAAGGCATAGTCTATAGAAATGTAAAAAAAATACGATAATAAATATATCTCCAAACTAGGTTTTAAACGCAATTAGAAGCTTTGTTGGGGACTTGAAATTGTTAAAATATATATAATTAAAGAAAGAAAATTGTAAAAAATTAATAATAAAAAAAAAACCTAACCCTTAACTAAAAAAAAAAAAATCAATAAAGAAATGCGAAAAAATCATTAAAAATAAACATCTAAATGATTTTAGTAGCTGAGGCTTAGATCAACAAAATGTTTTTCAAAAAGTTTTAAATGAAATACGTAAAAGATTTCATACAAAAAGGTCGTAAATTAAAGTAGTAAAAAGGTGCGAAATAGAGCAGAGTAAAGATCTAAACAAAGAGATATTGAGTCTCAGTAGTAAACGACTTTTAAAATAAAATAGGTAGTAAATTAAAGTAGTAAAAGGATTTCTGCAAAAATATACCAAATAAATGTAGTAAATGATTTTGAGGTTATTTTTTACTATTAAACAACCAGATAATAGAATTATATAATTGAATCGATAACTTATCGGTCAATGCTGATACAGATACAGACTATTTGCCACTTAGAATCAGAAACACAAATTCAAGCAATAACTTGACTTGTTATAGAGGAAATGAGATATGAAATGGAATTGATAGCGAAATGACAAAAACACGATAGTTTATGATTATAATAGTGTTAGCTAGAGGTAGATAAGGTTGCTATAAAAAAATGCCTATTAAAACTAAAATGTTAACATCAAACTAATCCGACTTATTCCTTTCAACAGATCAGTCTAAACTAACAACGAAATTTGGAGACGAGCCGGACCTCCTGTTCAACCGAGCGCAGGGCCGGAATAGTCTGCTGAATAGTCTTGGAGCCAGCTCTGCGATTGCCGCAGCCGCCCAAGCATCAATCAACATTCAACTAGAAGCAACATTCAATGACTGTGAAAGTGGCTACGTGCCCACCGTGGGCCGTTGGGGTGCCGAATGGCCGAGCTGACTCGCCGCTGCAGCCAGCCAGGATGGTGCGGCAGCGACGCCCAGCTATGCCGTCGACGTTGATGATGTCGACGACGATGACAGCTTTGGCAGCGTCGCTGCTGGAGGCGGAGGCGGTGGCTCCGCGGAGCAGCAGCTGGCGAATGCGATGCGTGGCATGGGATTGACTACGACAGTCCATGGTGTCACAAATGAGCAAGATGATAAGCCAAGCAGTTGCGCTTCCACGCGAACCACGCCTTCGCGCACGCCCTCCACATCCAGCGAGGACGATGACGAAGAAGATGTTGAAGAGCAGCATCAGCAGCAGTGGATGCCAACCGACCTGACATCAGTGGCAGCCGCATCGGAGCGCTACTCCGACATCATCCGGGTGCTGTCCAGACAGAAGTCACCCACTGTCCAGCAGCAGCGGCACCCAGGCGCCAACTGGGCCATGGCCGATGGCTATGATCTGTCGGCCTACAATCAGATCAACGGTGTCTGGCCACTGGGTCATCCTCTGCCGCTGCCCGACTGGGGCAGCGCCGATGAGCCGGCCAAGGAGACCTTAGTGTTCGAGAACGTCTGGCAGTACGAGGAGCTGAATGGCATTGTGGAGACGGCGCTGCAGCGCATGCTGGAGGAGACGCACTACAACACGGTGAATCTCTTCGTGGATTTCTATCGCAGCTTCAAGCGCACACGGCGCTCCGATCTGCGCAGCTTCTTTCAGTTCTATGATGTGCCCATCAATCGACGCCATCACATGTGCGTCTCGCTGGCCTTTGAGATCATTGCGCGCCTGGTGCAGATGTTCCCCCAGCTGGGCCATCACCTCTATGTGGTGTCCTGCGAGGAGCAGGTGGCCGACTGCAATGATTATGTGCAAATGGATGAGGAGTACGGCATGAACTCGGCGGATGCGGGTGTCGAGAAGGAGCACGTCATGGTTGCCATGCGCTTTGCCATTGGCGAACGTCGTGGTGTCATGATACTGGATCCGGGCTACCATGTGGGACGCGCCGTAACCATCATGTGTGACCAGAGCTATCCACATACAGGTGAGCAGAGCGACACAATCCCTATAGAGGAGATGTACTTAATTCTCTTTTTCTCTCTCTGTTTCTCTCTCTAGGCTGGTTCAATCAATCCAAGGAGCCGCATTTGCAGCGCGACTATTGCTATACCTTCAGCCAGCACAGCGAGAAGTTTGTGGAGTGGAAGGAGCGCGAGATACGCGGCGATGAGGCCAGTTTCAAGACATCCTTGATATACATTGCCCAGGAATATAATACCGCGGTGGATGTCACTGTGCGCCGTAATTTGGTTTACAATTTCCGCTCGCTGCTATCGCGCGACGCCAAGGGGCGCGTCTATGCGGGACTCTACTTCCCGCTGGTGGCCAATGTGCAGGAAGCGCATCTGACGCTCTTCTACGATGGACCCAATGAGCAGCGCGTCAAGGTCAAGCTTATGTTTAGCGTCTTTAAGGTGGCCAAGGGCAAGGTGAGATGAGCTATATACAATATAAACAAAAGTACACCGAATTTTAATCTATTTTCTATATCTCTATAGCAACTGCCGGATTATGTGTCGCAGCATCTGATGAAGTTGGCGCCACAGTTGAATATGTCGCTGCATGAGCTGACGGAGCTATGCAAATCTCTGTGCGAAGTGGTGTCCGATCAGAATTTTATCACTCAAGTTTTGGCCATTAACGATGATATTGGCAACATGTCCATGGAGAATTGACAGTCAAAGCAGCCTAAGGATGTGGCTGCATCTCCTGTGCATCAGGATGGGGAAGCAGCTTCAACTTAGACTTCAATTTTGGCAACAATTTAAATCACTATTTTTTTCCAATTTTTCAAAAACAAATGTTTTATTTCTAGATTTTAGGCGCACTAAACAAAACTATATTTCAAGATTTATTAATATATACCTACGCATAAAGAATATATACAATTATTATAAACACACACTCACACTCTCACATACATACCAAGAAACACTTTGAAAATCCTTGTATTATTTAACAAATGAAAATTTGATTACAAATTACAAATTATTGTAAGTACGTATATATATATTTAGAATTTCTTGTTTTTGTGCTTAGCTTCTTTTTCGATTTTCAATTTGTTCTACTTACATAAAATATATACAAATTTAAACTATACAACAATAACATTAGTTGACATAACACTTTTGTTAAATGCACTGTAATACTTTTTGTTTAATAAATAAATGCAAAAATAGCTATATAAAATAAGTTTTTAATCAAGTATTTAAAATATGTAAATGACATTTGAACCATCAACTAAAATCCTACTTTCAGTATTTAAATAAATTGATTGGAAACGCCAACATTTTGAAGCTTGCGGCGCGCGGTCACACTGAAAGCCGGCAATTGAACAGCTGTTCAGACTAAGTTTCTTTGGTGGCAATTTCAGATATTTAGTCAGCTTAATGGCTCATTAAAAGTTTTATGTAATATAATTATCGAATTATTTACTGTTTCTATCTAAAGCACATTAACATTTAACAATTGTGAATTGACATTTTGTTATAATGGGTAAGCGTAATTTGTTGGGCAGCTAATTCACCTGTCAACACCTGTTGTTTGGCGTCGTCAGATAGCAGCAACAAAAACACAATTGAAAATTAAATTCAGGTTCTAAACTGACAACGAGCGCGCGAAACTTATAACGTTTTAGTTGTCGTTTGAATTTCCAGCGGTGCGGTTGTGTTTTGTTATATTGAGAACCGGTTTGGACCTACTAAATTGAATTGGAAACGTGACGTGCTGCGTCAAAGGCATATATAATTTGAAACTGTTTACCCATTTAAGTGAATAAAGTTGATTTTTTGTTGTCAAATATTAGCATAGGCCGAGAGTTCGGGACACGAACGAGTGCATAGAAATCGCATTAGCCTACATACATACATACACATATTTAAGTGCAATAAGTAGAGGTTCAAGTACATATGCATATGTATATAACTGCAAGGCTTTGTGCACTTGTGCGCAACAATAAAAGAAATAGAAAGTTAACAAATGCAGTCAGATACTTTTTTGTTTCTTTTTGTTGACGGAAGTCGAAGAAGACGGCCTGTGCCCAGTGTTGACAGCGCAAAAAGTCACACAAGCACACACACATGCATGTTGCCATGCACACACACACTCCATGAAACTGTTTTTTTGTTGGCTATGTATGTTTGGTAGCTCTCTTCGCACCTCTGGAGCTACCCATCAGAGTAACGTTTTTTTCTATTTGTTTGTTTTTTTTTTTTTTTTTTTTTTTTCATATGTTTGCTTTTATACTATGAGTCTATGTTTTTTTTCGTCTTTTTCTTTCGAAGCTATTGGCCCATTCTTTGGCTCTTCAACTTTCATTCCTTTGCTTTTGACTCTCTTTCTTTAATTTGCATTTTATGTGCCGCTGTCGCTGTCGTTGTTGTTTTTTAGAAAACCAACTGCTAACTGGGCCATAATTTCATGGCACTAACTGATATTCATAATAAAATGATTATTTTAAATAGCCGCGAAGCTCTCCGCAGTCAACGTTAAGCAATTAAATTCAACACTAATTGGCAACGAAGTGAGCAAAACAAAAAGACGAACTGAATTCAAAGTGCAGTACTTAACTAAATAAATAAATCTATATTATATATAGTACTTTTGAAATGGCTATTAATGGGCACAGGCGGAGCGAGAAGCAAAAATAGTGGGAAAATACAAAAACAAAAAACAAAAAATAATATTTGCTGCTGACTCAAGTTGCGGACAACGAGCACAGCTGCAAGCAAATAATTGCTGCTCATAGACATTTTTCTATATATGCATAAGTACAAATATAAATATTTATGATATCTACGTGAATATTCATACAGTGACTTGGGCTTATCAGAGCCAACATGACGATCTTTGCCCCCCCACCCGCTTACGTATACTTTTTGACTCAGCAACATTGATTCCTTATCTTCCACAGACAAAATACACATAATTGATTTGTGCAACATGTTGCTCTGGCTGCTTATCATTCTGACGTTGCTGTGCAGCTTTATTTTCACGAAGACAACCAAAGGCATACCAAAGTCCTGGTTCGAATGGAAAACTGAGTTCCGCTATCAGTACTTGGGCATTGTTGGACTCATACATGATGCACAATACGCCTCTAGGGATCGTGTGGGTATGTACATCTACAATTATCTAAATCTACTCCTACAATTATTATCAATTAACAACATTTTTAACTGATTATTGTTTTCGCTTGCAGCACTTTATAAACAACCGGATCGCATTGCTGTCATTACAGGCGGCAATCGCGGCATTGGCCTGCGCATTGTAGAGAAATTACTGGCTTGCGACATGACTGTTATAATGGGTGAGTGAATGGACATCTTAGTACTTGACCAATTGAACTTTGTTTGGTAACGCTGTCTGGAAACGGCTATGTAAATCAGCTTCGACCATTTGTTATTCAGTCAACACAACACACGACAAGAAATAATAGAAATAAAAGTTGGGCCAAAACGTGCATTGCCTGAGTGATTTGATCGAAGAAATTTCACACATTATTTGATATTTCTACACCCACACAGTTAGAGTCCACTCTAAGCAACATGTTGTCTCTCGAAAATGTTGCAGCCCAAATGTTGCTGCATAGCTTTAGGGCACACAGAAATAATATTACCTTTTCGTATTCTGTGAAGAATATTTGCTTACGATTAATGAAGTTTAAAGCCTGTAGTAACTTAGCTTATAAAAACCAAAAATTTTAAATAATTTTGTGTATAAATGCCATCGTCAGTAACGCATAAACAGAAATATAATCCACTGCACTGTGAAACAGACTCATCTAAAGTCCACAAGAAATTTCTACTTGAACATTCTTTACATACCATATATAGACGAAAACAAAAACAAAATTTTAAAATTAAAAATACCCGAAGCTGTCGCGTGAATTGCATTAGTAATGAAACCATACACACACATTCTGCAACACACCTGAAGTCCACATTTCACAGCAAGTTGCACCAGCCAAAAGAGCAACATGTTGCTAGGAACTCGAATGCCCACACATTTGCAGGGGAAATAATTGCATATTTTTGGGCATACTGAAAAAATACCCTACATGCATTTCATATGCTAAAACAACTATGAGGGATATTTTGTTATTGTGGTATTTAATGAAATGTGCTAAAGAGGGATTTTTTCCAATGTGGTATTTTTTAATTAGGGGAAGAGAAGTTAGCTGAAATTTATTGATATAAAAATGAAATTATTCATTAATAATTATTATTGTTTTTCTTACAGGCGTTCGGGATCCGCGCAGTGCCGAAGACGCTGTTGGCGGCATTGTCGATCTCAGCCAGACGAAAGGCAAACTGATTTGCGAACAGCTCGATGTAGGGGATATGAAGTCGGTGCGTGCCTTTGCGCAGAAGATCTCGCAGACATATGCCAAAGTTGATTTGCTGATAAACAATGCGGGCATTATGTTCGCACCATTCAAGCTAACGGCCGATGGCTACGAATCGCACTTTGCCATCAATTACCTGGGCCACTTCATGCTCACCCACCTGCTGCTGCCGAAGCTGCGTGCGGCTGGCAAGCCGGGCAGAAATGCGCGCATTGTGAACGTTAGCTCCTGCGTGAATCTGATTGGCCGCATCAACTACAAGGATCTCAATGGACTGTAAGTGAATGATAAAGGATATCTTTGCCGGCTCAGACTCACAATGTTTCTCTCGTTTCATTAGCAAATACTATTATCCCGGCACTGCGTACAGCCAATCGAAGCTGGCACAGATTTTGTTCACACGCCACCTGCAGACGTTGCTGGATGCGGAGAAGGCCAACGTGCAGGTGAATGTGGTGCATCCGGGCATTGTGGACACGGATCTGTTTGAGCACTCGGCCACAACGGCGGTGCCGTTCTTCAAGAAGCTCTTCTTCAAGACGCCTGAACGAGGCTCACGCACCGTTGTCTTCGCTGCCATAGATCCGTCCATCGAGGGCCAGGGAGGCACCTATCTGAGCAACGGCGGCAAGGGACCCTTCCACGCGGACGCCAAGCAGCCGGCCAAGTGCGAAAAGTTCTTTGAGCACTCCTGCGCGCTGCTGAAGATCAAGCAGTACGGCAACGGCGAATATCCACTCTAATACCATTTATGTATGACATTTGCTAACATTCCCCCAACTGGTGTAACGTAATTTTCTGTTAAGTAATTTCATGTTTAATATCATCTTATATTAAAAAAAAAAAAACTAAAAAATGGAAAGAACAACACAAATTGAATAACTAAAAAAATGTATTTGTTTTGTTTTGCAAGCATGTTGCATGCCTTCACTTAAAGTCGGATAATGTCGGATAAGTGTGGATAACAAGTTATAACTCCAAATGTATTTTAATTCAATTACGAATAGTTTCAAAATAAATATGTTACGCTACTCAGAATAGTCGATCTATCTAAGTGGATGAAGATGCTAAAGCCAACAGCTTAACATATCTCTATGGATTTTTATTTTAATTAACTTGTCTGCGTTGATTGCCATCAGCAGCAACGGGAGGAGGAGGAGGAGGAGGTGGCGGAGGAGGAGAAGCTGCGATAGCAGCAGACCAAAAAGTGCAATTAAAAAAACAAAAGTGCAGCAATAGCAGCAACAAATCCACTTCGATATTTCTTGGCGGCAGCTTAAAAGACGTCGTTACTGCAACAGCAACAGCAACAGCAACAACTGCAACAGCAACAGCAACAGCAACAGCAACAGCAACTGCAACAACAGCAACATCATCAACAACTATTATATGTCAAATTTACAAACAATTTAATTTGTGCTCCTCCTTAAACAATGAGCGATTAACATTCAACATTTATGCGGAATTTTAATCGACTTGCGTGCAGAGTGGAGAGTGGAGACTGCACCGAGTGGAGAGTTAAGAGACGTGCATCCAGCTAGGTGGCCAGATGGGTG